CTTAATTTCGTAAAATAATAAAATTTTTGCTTTAAATTTTAACCAAATTTATGTAATGTGTATAAATGTTTATTGCATTTACCTATTTGAATAACTGCCCTTGACCGAATTATGGACGCGCCTACTGATAATACCATCTTCTCCAATGATGCACTACATCGCCGCACAAACTATCCGGCGATAGACATCTAAGTCCATCCGTGGAAATAGCAAAAGCCAAAATCGAAACGCAACAGAGATGTCCCCCACAGACTATAACAGGTCGTTACATGGTGGCAACGGGGCGGACCATTCAAAGAATACACCTACTGACCGAAACCATCTTGTCAATAAAACACTAAAAGTGCTAACGTCGCCATGTAACCATTCACGGATATACACCCAATGATATGCCGGTTGTTTTTTAGACCGAAACGCAACAGAGAGATCCCCCACAGGTGGCAACGGGCGGACCATTCGAAGAATGCGCCTACTGACCGAAACCATCTTGTCAACAAGACACTAAAAGTGCTAACGTCGCCATGTAATCATTCACGGATATGTGAACACGTTAGATTCGTGATTTTTTTTTTTTTTTTTTTTTTATCACAACGAAAGCGTTGGCAAAATTTTCTTCACAATGTATCTAACTTGGTTACGCAATCACCTTAGTAACCTCAAACCGGAAGATTATTACAAGAAGCTTGGTTATTCTCACAATTTAAGGAGTCATGCCGAGGAGAAATTGCATAAGATGCTCAAATTGATCATAAAAGAGAATTACATAATTAATCGCAAGAAAGCGACGAATTTCTTAAATAATTTTGTGGTAAATGAGAATATCACTGCTAGCTGTAAATGGATATTCGCTTGCACTAAAATTGTATAGCCATTTGCTTTTATTCTTTGACAGCCATGGACACATTCATCCGAGTGCGAGATGTATTGGTAGAAGCCTCATTTGGCAAGGTATGTATAGATTTTTGTCGTTGTTAGAAAGATAGACTCTGGCTTATTACTTGGTTATTTGACTCCACAGTTAACACACGAAGTGGTAGGACGAAATTCGGCGTACAAAACTATCAAAAACGTCACTAAAAAGATCTATTATAAGACAGAGGTTCTGAACGAATTTCAACCGCCTTCAAAAAGACTCAAGGAGGATAAACTCGAACAGCCACATACTCCAAAAGATAAGGTAGCTGTATTTGTATTTTTAATATATAACCACAACAAAAATGGTTTCTTACCTCTCGGATGTGCACGAACGAAGATTCAATTCGAGTAAATGTTTTGTTTTTTATGCATTATGCACTATGTGATATTAATGAAACTTTACAGCTGTTTTTTTGTTCCTCTCTTTCCA